GTTCTCTCTCTCTCTCTCTCTCTCTCTCTCTACTTCACCTATCCTAGTAATTTTTATTTCTAAAAATGTAATCTTTATTAGATTAATGTTTTTATTTCTCTCTCTAGCTCACACTTGCATGTTATTTGTGATCCCATTTCCTTTGTCGTGGAATCCATCTTACATTAAGCTGCTGTTGAGCTTCTTTTGAACCGTGGTATGTTTTTTGTTGCAGAGTGATTAGGGAGAAATATTCTTTTTGCTTAAGAGTTAAAACTAATTGGAGTCAATTTATCAGAATGTTTCTCTAATTTTAGATCCAGGTTTGGATTATAGGACTCCGTGGATAAAACTAGACTGGTAATTTCGATCTAATGGCGAAATTCTTTTATGATATTGAATCCTAGGCATTAGAAGAGGACACGGTTCTCCAATTTGGATTGGAGGTCAGATTGAAACCAAGGACCGTTATCGGGTTTATTGGATTTTATCTGAACAAGTCAAATATTGGCTAAGATAACTGGTAAGGTATTCTTGTAAGTTCTGTAATTTTGATTCTCACTCAGATTCAAACCAAGAGTGGTAATTGGGTATAGGGATTCTAACTCAATAAATTGGATTGGACTATTGGAGATATAGAAACTCAACAAGTATTCTGATTAGTTTGTGGAATTATCGAAAAAGGTAGCGAATGATTGAATTTGTTGTTCCATTGTTTGTATAATGTCTCCATTTGAGAAAATATTAGAATTCTGCTCTCTGAGGAGACTCTTAGTATTTTATGGGGTCACAGATTGGTTCCATTTTAGTTGTGGCTTTTCTTGCACTAGTTTGAAGGTGGGAGTCTAAATAATGTCTGTAGTGGATGATAAGTTGGGCATTTTTAGAGAGAAATCAGAGTTCAATGTCATTAACTCGACTGTTAATGGCATTGGCCATGAAGATATGTTGAATGGTGGCACCATGGTTGAAGAGAGCACCCCAAAATTAGGTAATATTCTTGTTCAAGGAGAATATATTGTGAATAATGTTGCTCTTTCCCTAGCTTTGTCCTTTCTATTTTATTTGTGACACTTAGTTCTGAGGTCTAAAATTGTCAGAGATTGGAATTGTTTTGGTGGGGCCATGCTGATGATCACTGCTTGGCCTAAACTTCAACTTTAGAGGTCCCAACTTGTCAAAATCATAAAAAAAGTTCCCTATAATTTAAAGTTCAAAAATAGAAAAATGGCTGAATGTGTCAAATTTCATCTGACTTTCAGATTTAAACATAGCTCTGAGGAAAAAAGGCATACAGATTTAAACCCTCTAACATTACAAGAAAAAATCTTAAACTATTGTCTCAGAATGTAGAGCCCTTAAAACTACCCCTTTTAGTTTGTGGCTAGGACCCGTTTTTTTTAATTCTTGTCCTTTTACTTTTCAACAATTGCAAAGTTATCAAGGTTTTCAGATTTTGGTCAGTTATTTTCTGGGGAAACTGGACAAAAGTAAAATTCCATTCAAATTCATGTTAATTTTGATCCTTGTGTTGGTTTATCGACATTTGAGGTTGATTTTGCGAAACAGTACTGTTATAATTCTTATTGGCTTGTGGATAGTGAGATAATATTATGTTGTAGAATTGGCAAGCATTACACTGTATCTAAATGTTAACATGTATCCATTTTATTTGTAGCTAAGCAGCGAGCTGAAGTGGTGGAGTGGTTAAATGCCTTGTTTGACCACTTGATTTTGCCATCTGAAACTTCTGAAGAGGATCTGAGAGCTTGTTTGATTGATGGGACCATCTTATGTGGCATTCTGAACAAACTGAGTCCTAGTTCTATAACAAAGGTAGAGTTTCTTTTGCTTCATCCCCTTTAAGTATATTTGCAAACAGTTCACCATAGACATGTACAGATTTTTATATTTAGCTAGACTTTTGTGGGGCGAGCTTACCGATTCATTAAAGGTTAAGAGCATTCTAAAAACAACAGGAAAATGGATCTATGATTTTTATCTTTAAAGCCATGTTTTGACAAATTCAATGTAGGACACATATCAATGCTTAGCTCGTGTAAAATATCTGGTGGTACCTTATGATTTCTCTTGCAAAGGCATTTTGTTGTTGTTGTTATTGTTTTTTTTCTGTTATTTTTAGGCAGGATTTGAATATAAATACACATGAACAACAAACATAAGCAAACAAGAGTAAAATAAAATTTGGTTAAAGATGATGTAAAGATAGCATCTCCTCTTGATTTTCAATCACATAGCTGAAACATGTCCTAAAGATGACCATTCGATGCCCCTGGATCCATGACTAGTCATCTGATCACATTCAAGGAATTTAACTTCACTTGAAGAGGCTGTGACAGGAGTGCCAAGTACTATGAATATCTTGAGCGTACTAAGGATGATTTAGCCTATGCCCATAGAGAATCACAGACACTAGGAGGCTTAAACAAAATGTAAGTATTAGAATCTAAACAAAACTTGAGAATCCTTACAACTATCGTGATTCCTCAAACAAACCATCCATTCATAATGGGACCAATGTTTCCTTCAGCAAGGTACAAATGATGTGGTGGAGTTTGCATTCATTATGGATTATTTCAATCCCCAGGTTCTCTGGATTGCTTTGTAACTATAGGGTCCATATGCTGTGAGCATAAGACAATCAATTAGTCTATGAACAACTGACTTTTCTATGATTCTGCTGCACTTCATAATCCAGATTCTGCAGAATATTGTTTGGGGGCTTCAGTTCCAGAGAATGCCACCTCTAGATAAGAAAGGATGCAAAGTTCAACTGACCACAAGAGCATTTGTTGACTTGGACATAACCCAACTGGCTTCAAAGGAGTCCAACATATGGGTCTAATTTGCTTTGGAGAAAATGCTAATGAATCAGAAGATTACTGTCCATATCTGCACGGTTCCTAGACTCTATAAATTTTTTGCTGATTTTCATGAGCCGTTGTTGCAATTTTGTCCACTCTTGAGTAGTTGAGTAGCTTGTCAGTCCATTTAACCACTTAAAAGCTGGATGGGAAACCTGGGTTGAGGATAAGTATCCTCATTACAAGATATCGCATGTTAGAAGATGTGAATGAGAAGAAGCTCCATTATCTGGGGACCATGTTAGGCTGTCCTTCACCACTCTTGTGACTTAAGAGGCATGATATGTATTCCCCTTTTGATTGAACTACTTAATCTACTACGTTTTACACCTATTTGAAGAAATGAATCCCAATTATCTCATTCCCCACCCCTCTAGGTCAAATGGTCAGAAACATGTGAATTGGAGCCTAGTATGATCCAGGCTAGGGAAGCTAACCCCCAAAGCACATACTGATCCAAGTGCTGTCCCTGTTTAGGGATTTGAACCACTTATTTGCTTCCTCCTTAACAATGTAGTGTGCTTTCTCACATCCTTAATGCTCAAACTGTACTTATCAAAACCATCCTCTCTGGCAAACATGTATTTTGAAAGGCATCTGATCGCCCCTTAAATTTCTAATTCCAAGTCCACAGGTCACGTTGGCTTCATTTGCCATTCAAGTTCCCCATCCTCCTTCCTTTTGTTGTTTACATATGTCTAACTAAGTGATACTTGTGCTTGCTATCATGCCCGAAGAACTTCCCCTCAATGCATCTTGATTTAGCAATGGCACTTGCCACTTTGGAAGAATTGGGCTAGATTTGGTATAGGTTCTTTCAAAATAACAGCAGAAGTCGGTCCACTTGAAATCTGATTTTTTTTATATTCGTCTTTACAGGAAAATTTTGAAAAAATTAGATGTGGACTTAAATTCAATTGGAAAGCTTCCAAAAGGTTGATAATTTTGAGTATCCTAATTCTGCAGTTGACTTTTATACGGATAGTGTTTACTAAAATTTTTCAGACGAATAACATAGGAAATACCTCACTTATCATTTGTCTTGCTAATTTATTTTTGTGTATGTCATGAGTGTTGATATCTGTTAATTTGTACCCCTTATTTCTGAATTATATTGGTGATCTACTGTATTGTTTTTTGACAAGATTTTATCACAGGTAAACTCTCGCTCAGGTTCATTTGGGGCTGACGAATCTGGCCTTTCTGCTTATGAGCGCTCTGAAAACATCAAGAGTTTTTTATCTGCTGTTGATGTGCTGGGGCTACCAAAGTTTGAACCTTCCCACTTGGAGCAGGCATGAATACTCTCCCAGAGACTGAGTATTTGTTGGAGCGACACTGATATTGGGTTCTTTTACATTCATTTATATACATATATTGTTATGCAGGGACCTATCACCACAGTGGTTGATTGCTTATTGACCCTTAAGGATCACTTTACCCATGAAGGTGGTGACAAAATCTCCCTATTTACATCAATTCATGATTCAACGACATTGATTTATAAATTTATTACTGGTAAATATGTCTAACGTTTTTCCTTTTCATTGTAAGATGTCTAATTGTTTATGTTAATTAATTTAGGGAAGTGTGAGGATCTGTCTCAGAAAGGATGGGTGCTTCCAGAAGCAGAAACTTGTGTGGTAGGGGATGCCAGGCAAGGAGACCAGTCGCAAAGGCGTAATTATTCATCGTTGAGAAATGATAGACGCAGGTCTTATTCCGATTTGCAATTTGAGAATATTTTACGCAGTCCTGTGATGTCGGGTATGTTTTCTTTCCTAGCTGTATTTGTAAAAAGTAAAAATTACTGTTGCAGTCATGTTCATAGGCAAGTGAATATGGAGATTGATGCTGGTTAATTTAGGTGAATTGAGTTCTGCTTTGATTATTGAACTTGTGTTCATCAGATGCTTTGCAAAGATCTTTCTATGTACTATTAGTTTAGTACCTGCTGTGTGTACTGCGAAAAGAAATGAAGATGAGGGTTAGTGTTTGTGCAAGAGTCCACTATGCCTAGGATCTAGAGGAGAATGGCTCAGGCTTCGCTTAAGAGCGCAGTTATAGGTGTTTTTGCATTAGCTGTGCCTTCCCATTGTGGTTGTACGATCAAGATGGATAGATAAGGGAGCCCCTGTCCAGATAGAATGTAGAAGGGCTCTTCTTAGTGGCATTTTGATGTTCATGCCAATGAGAAATGGATTGGGAAAACCGTACTCCGGTGGCTGCCAACGCAATGTCACGTGAACTGCACTTGCTGCATTACAGTTGTTTTGGTTTTCTGACTCCCTTTGTAAGAAAATTTTCGCAGAGTATCACCTTTACCAAAATCAATTATCACTCTTAACATTTTCATGTTACTCTTTAATGTAGTTAAACATTGAGGGTCTAGGTTTATATTTTTATAGGGAGAGAGATACAAAATGAAATCCAAAAAAAATATATAAAATATAAAAGGGTCGTGGAGGCACCAGATGATCTCGCTTTCTTCCAAAGTGTTGAAAGCCATGGCTCAGAGATGTTTATGAGATGCAATAGGTCCTAGCGAGCACACTCCCAAGAGACAACCAGCCCGACCAAAATCTGTCATAGGATCTCTGAGTTGCACTCTCATAGGCTGTCTAAATCACTACTCTCCTCTAATTTTGGTAGTCAAATTGGTAGGAAATTTGTTGAGCTTCAGTTCAGCTTCAATTTGACTATCATTAAAAACCATTTTAATATCTCGAAAATGGCTGCAACAAATTTTTCGTAGTAAAACTGTATCCCTGGTGAATATATGCCAAAGAATAGTGTCACGAACAGTCTCTTTAAGTAAAGAAGAAGCTTCATATTTACATATAAAGTATCTAATAAAATATTCATAACATATAAAAAGGTAATATATTTCGGGTTTCACATATAGGAGGGAGCAAAAACCTTCTTAAAAACATTTATAGATAAAAGTATAATAGAAAGTGCCATAAGTCACTCTTAAAGGTGACATGTGGCACAAATAAAAAAGGGGGAAAGTCCCTTAAAAAATAGCATATCGCATGTCACCCTCTAGTGACACATTGCATGCAATAAGAGGGACGCCAAAATGGCCTTCCTAAGTTTGTGACAGCGAACTCAACAAGTTCGCTCACGCCAAATTCCAAAACTGGCACCCCTATTTTTATTTTATTTTATTTTTTAATTTTAAAGCATGGCCCCAGAAAAGGATCATAGTCCAAAACTGAAATAAAATAATTATAAAAAATAGGTGAAGCGTGAAGCTACAAATGCAGCAAAGCGCGCCTCAAGTGGTCTGGTGCTCTCACCCACCTATTTCAAACAAATTACAAACCCTGAAGTTGTTCTGAAACACAAATTTCACAAATATATAACATCTGCACTTTCTCAGATGAAGCATTAGTTTCCTAAACAATATTCTAAAATATATCACTTAGTACAAATTCAAAGGGGAGACATATTGCATGCAATGAGGAGGCCAGAATAGCATCTCTAAGTTTGTGCTGGCGAACTCAACAAGTTTGCTCGCGGCAAACTCCAAACTGAGCATCCTTGTTTTCTTTTATTCAATTTTTTAATTTTAAAGCACGGTTCTGAAAAGGATCATAGTCCAACAGTGAAATAAAATAATTATAAAAAATAGATGAAGCACCGAAATGGCAAAGTGCGTGCCTCTGCTGGTCTGGTGCTCTTGCCCTCCGGTCTCAAACAAATTACAAATACCTGAAGTTTTTCTGAAACACAAACTTCACACATACTTAACATGTGCACTTTCTCAGATGAAGCTTTAGTTCCCTAAAAGATATTCTAATATACATCATTAGTTACAAACTTAAAGGGAATCCTTTTCTGGAAATTACATGAAGCAACATGCAAGATTCTTTTTGAGCTTGCTCATTCAAGACAAGTTGCTTGCTCTTCCACCAAAATCATTTCTTTGTTTTTTCCCTTATATCCATCAGATTTCTTGGCATGATATATCATATTTATTTCTGACTCTCTTTGGTCTTACTTATTCAAGACAATATGCTCTCTGCAATAATATCTGTCTTTTTCTTTAAAAAATCAACTGACTCGGCACGGTTTATTAGTTCCATTTTTTGCTTGTTATCTGCATCTAAAGTAATTTTTTGACTTCTTTTTATTTTTATTTTTTATTATGTAGAGCCAACTTCTGCTTGGTTACATCATGTTGGACAGAAATTCCATGAGGTTTTTCAGCTGAACCAAAGCCATTCAGATCTTTCCTCTGCAAGGAGTTTGGGAATGATGAACTTGAACAGTTTAGATGTAACTACAGCTGGCTTTTATTAGGACTTGCTTGTTTACATTAGTGGCATTGTAGTGGGTCTAGGAGTTTTGGTTATTTGATTGCCTGTAATGTTTCTTCATATTTGCTTGCAGAATGCACCTACTCAATCTCTGTTAAGTCTTGTCAGTGCCATTTTGGGAGAAAAGCAGAATGGTGAAATACCTCCGGTAGGTTGGGTTCCAGGCAAATTACATTTTATTTATAGATCATTTATTAAGTAATATGCAAATAATGTAGAGATGAATGAATGAATGGGCAAATAATTGTTTCTACTAAACTATTGTTGGATGGATTTTCTCGGGTGCTGCCTTGCGTGGTCCCCACCCCCAGGGTCCAGCCCGGGGCTGTGCCCACCCAACTAAAAAACAGAAAAAGTGTTGTTGTACGGATTTTCTCATATTCTAGTGTTATTTCTTGATGATGCAAAAAGATGTCCACTTTAGAGTTTTATATGCGGATATTCAACATCACATCCTCGGTGAGTATTTTATAATCTCTTTATTGTTTCTTGCATTCCTCTGGTTTGTTTTCATCAGCGCGTCGAGATTTTACTGAGGAAAGTTATGCAAGAAATTGAGCGAAGGCTTTCAACTCAAGGGGAGCATATTAAAAAGGTAAGATTTATATATGAGATCTCATATGGCTACTGAAACTTGGTTTTCACTACATTCACAACTGTTGCAGCTTAAAAATTCCTTAAGAGAAGTTCTTTCACGTGAAGAAAGGCTGGTTTCAAGAGCCAGTGTGTTGGAGACTCTTGCATCTGGCTCAAATGAAGAAATTCAGGTAGATTTCTCAGTCATGGTTGAAGCTTGACATAGTTTATGTGAAGCAAATTTTTTTTTTCTAATTCTTCTGCAACTGATTTGAACTTATTTTTATGGACATTGCAGATTGTAACTGATCAACTTCAGAAAATAAAGGTCATTTACTTTTTCTCTTCAAGTGCTTAGTTTTTATTTCTAAATTAGTTTCCACTTTTTGTCTCCACCCTTTCCAGGTACATGTTCATATTCTTTTCTAAGGAGTGCCCCATGGTACTTGTTAGTTGTTGTTCAACTAGAGGCAATTATGGTTGTCGTTGTTGTTACTTGCTGTTAATAACAACAAAAACAACCATTGATTCAAAAAGCGGTCTGCCGAGTGCGTAGGCGGATTGGGGGGGTTTGGGTGTATCGCCCAGGACTGGGCTGACCAACTAGGTGGGTTGTCCCCAGGCACCCACCTAGGCACCCTAGGCGGCTACCTAGTACTTTACCTAGGCGGGTGCCCAGGGGACTGCGCTATCCTAGGCACAAAAACACCCATTGGGAGGGGTAGTTTTGTGATATTGTTTTGTTTGGATTATAAAAAATGCATGAATATGCATTTTTAATACAAAATTTAGACCTAAAATAGGATTATGTACTCCCCTTGCTCCGTTTTGAACCTAGGCCGCCTAGGCGCTGGGCAGCCTAGCCACCCCCAGCCTCCTAGGTGTGTCTCGGCATTTTTTGGAACACTGAGATCAATAACAACAACAATAACAATAACATTAACACTACTATTAGCATTATTATTTTACTATAATTTCTCATAAAGGTCAATGCTGTCTCTTTGTCAAAATGCTATTTATTTTCATTTTTTGGCCATCCATCTCATTATTTGTCAATTTTTGGCATTCTCTAGGAGCTCTAGCAAACATAGAGCCCTATATTATATTGGAAATGCAAGGTGCTTATCGACAAATTTCTGCTGTACTAGTAGAAGTCTCAAAGTCAACTAGATAATATTTTTCTGATTTACCTTTTTTTTTTAATGTAACAACTTTGGATCTGGTGAGAAGGGAACCCTTAGACGTCACATTCTGGCACCTGCCAACCTGACCATCTCTACCTAAAGCCCGTTATCCTTTGTAATAATGCCTTATTGTAATTTGATTCACAAATACGTGCTTTAAATAACATGTTTCTTCCAAGAAATGAGCGATGGATATCATTAAATATTACTTGAGATTGTTCTGTACTACTTTTTTAGTTCATTGTATCACGAAATGCAACCTTGTGATGCTCTTTCCTTGTCAACGTATGAAGGCAGTTAGTCTATAAAGTTGTATATTTGCACATGTGTTGCATTTCAGTAACTTCTATATTGATGTCTGTTTGATTTTTTTTTTCTTTCTTCACATTGTTCAGAGAGGTTCCAGTCAAGTATAGGACGAATGCCCTATTAGCACTTTGATAAACATCTTGTGTAGTTTTTGCCAAGTTTAATGAGGTTCTTTAAGTGATGCTGTGATGGTAATTCTTTGCCATCTTGAGCTCTCTTCCTTTCTGTGCTCTCTTCAAGGTCGCTTGTCATTCTTCTCAAGTTTCTTTCCTTGAAGGGAAATCTTTCTTCTATTCTTTCTTGCTGGAACTCCATCTTCCACTTGATCTTTCTCTATTTCTTTAAAATGTTGCTGTCCCATTCTCCCTACCATCACTGGCATGTGTTTCCATAACGAGTATGTATTGGAGTGTTTAAAACTTGGGGCAAAAAATCCAGTACTTATGTGACACATCCATAGTGGTCTACTACTTATGTTTTAATTAAATATTTAATTTTAAACCTTGGAACATAGCAAAGTTTGGCTAAAGTCATAGCGCACACTTTATGTTACTACTTATGTTGTAATTAAATATTTAGTTCTTCAACCTTGAAACAGTTGCAAAGCTTGGGTCAATAGTAGTGCACACTTTATATTCAAGGGTTCTTGGTTTGAAGCCAACGGGTGGCACTTTTTTTTATTACCACTCCTTTCTATTGTTTTATTACATATAGACAAGTTTTCATTGGAATGATTACAGAGACAGATGGCCTTCATGTTAGGGTGCAATTGTGGACGTGCAAGAACGTCTGTTCATACTATTAGTTAACCTAGTAGTATATAATTAGAATAATTGTCATATATGTGTTACTAGAGATAAACATACTATATGGTAGAGCAGAAGTTACTATGCAAGACATTTTAAGTTCGAATAGCATGGGGCTATTGGCAGCTTTTAATATAAAAGAGAGTCATGAGCCCTATTTCTTATTAAAAAGGGCATGCGTGTTGTATCCAAATCAGACACTTTTTACAGAAGTGTCAGTTGGGTACTGCATTGGTTATTTATCTCCGACACGTATGGACAAGTGCAGAGGATTGTTTAGAAGTGTCGATACGTATCACCAAGAGAAAAACAGGAGTGTGTAGGGAATATTGCCTACTGTAACCTTTCTCACAGGCTTATGTTTCATACAAAATCCCATCAATGTCTGGAGTCTGGACAAGGAGAAATTCATAGTTTCTTCTAGACACCTAAGCAGCAATGCAGAAATTGGGAAATTGGATGGCTTGGTGCTTTATGTGGTTCATTGCCAGTACCTTTTATCTAGAAACTACAACGCAGATGCCTGAATTGAGGAAACACATCTTCACCTGAATGATGATTCCTGGTATTTAGACAATGACCGGGTAACAATCTATTGTTGTCGCTTCTCACTTTGTGATTCCCTTCATGTATCCTTGCATTATCTGCTTATCCATGATGTAAATGGCATTCCTTGAATTTTTTGGACTTCCATATTGAAGTGGTACTGATAAATATATTTGAAAACGGATGCACAGTTGATAATCTATGGCTTGATATTAATTGTTACAAGAAATACGCTCAATAATGGTTGGAGAAGAGCTCAACTATTCATGATACATAAGGAAAAATTTAATGACAGCATGGTGACTTGGAAGCACTGCTACCTGGGTTTAATTTCATTCCATTTTGCTTGGGTTGCTTGTTGCAGGCAGAGAAAGTGAAAATTGAGGAGGAGAGGAAACTTGGGGAGAAGGATTTGCTAAGACTGATGAAGGAGAAGGATGGCGTTGAATCTGCTATTTCAACATTAAAGCAAGAACTTAAAGCAACAAGAAAGAAATATGAGGAGCAGTGTACCCAACTGGAAACACAAGGTAGGGAAGCTCAAGTGAAGTTGCAAGAGCGGCTAAAAGAAGTTGAGGAGCAGTTGACTGAGTCAAGGAAGAGGGTTGAAGAACTTGAGGCATTTTCTGAGTCAAAAATTCAGCGCTGGAACAAAAAGGAGATATCCTATGAGAAATTTTTAGCCTGTCAGCTTCAGGCTCTGCAGGTTGGCCTACTACTTTTTATGCTATTATGATGTTGCCACTACCGTTCAAATGAGATGTTTCACCTTGAAATGGTTTTCAGGAAATGAAGTTGTCTTCTAAGTCAGCCAAGCAAGAAATCTTAATTGCAAAAAAGAGCTGGAGGGAAGAATTCATCAACTTGGGTATGGGAAAATAATGGAATTACTATTCCCTTTTTCAATATTTGTGTTTGGACAATGACACAATGTTCATTTGTATTATATGCAATTTGCACAGGGGGTAAGCTCAAGGGATTGGCAAGTGCCGCAGAAAAATATCATGTGGTTCTTGAAGAAAATCGAAAGCTTTATAATGAGGTTCAAGACTTAAAAGGTACAGTTGTTTTTGTTAATTTTTTTCGAACTGCTTAATTTTCCAATTCATTCTTTGCGTTTTGCTCATTTCAGTATTGAATATGCTGAATAGGAAACATAAGAGTTTATTGTCGGGTAAGGCCTTTCCTTCCTGGCCAGGTTGAAAAGCAGACAACCGTAGAATACATTGGTGAAAATGGAGAATTGCTTATTGTGAATCGTAGCAAACAAGGAAGAGATGGCCAAAGGATGTTTAAATTTAACAAGGTCTTTGGTCCCACAGCTACTCAAGGTCTGCATCCCTCCAATATCTGCCTTTTCTTCTGTATTTGACCTTTTTTGTTTTTTAATTTTATTGTGTCCAGTGAATGATTTCAAATGAGTGTGTTGCATTATTGACATTTTAGTGAGAATATATTAATGCAAACCATAGTTTTGTTATATGAGTAATGCTATGATCAAGCAGGGAAATTGCTGCATCTTTCTATTTTTAACTTTTTATTTTTTAATTCTGAATAGTTCCTTCATATTATATTTGTCTGATAACAAATTTTCAAGACTTAATGTACGGAACAAAGTTGTGATGCTCTGTATGCGAACTACTGCTATTAGAGAAAGACTATTCTGAGGCTCAAATACTTCAGGTCACTTAGTTTTCACTTGTGTAAACTATTTAGGCTGAAAACTTTCAAATATTTTCATTACTGAAATTGAGAAACAGTTTTCTACTAGTTACTGTTCTGGTGAGATCTACTTGTTTTCATGTATTGATATATGTGCTTCTAGTGCTCTAGTTTAAGCTCTGTACTTATTACACCTTGTTTGGTCTTCCAGAGGAGATATTTTTAGACACTCGACCATTAGTACGGTCTGTTTTAGATGGATATAATGTATGCATCTTTGCATATGGTCAGACTGGCTCTGGGAAGACCTTTACAATGGTACTTAGTCTTGAATCCCTTATTTTATCTGTAAATAATGTTATGCATTTAATTTGCTATTGATTTATTTGCCAGTTTTATGTCCTTACGAAATCTCCACCCAAATCATCTTTGCTTTCCTATCAGACTGGGCCAGATATGTCTTCGGAAGAGCACTGGGGAGTTAATTATCGAGCTCTGAATGATCTTTTCCACATTTCACGGAGTAGGAAAGACACTTATGGGTATGAAGTTGGTGCTCAAATGGTTGAGATATATAATGAGCAAGTCCGTGATCTACTCATTAATGATGGTTCACAGAAAAGATATCCTTCTGCTGGGCATTCCTTTTAGTTTGTTTAATTGGCTTTGTTTATTTTTTAATCAATATCTAATGCACTAACTTGGTCATTGCTAAGTACGAGTCAACTCGCCAAGTTGAACAGTCAACTCGCCAAGTTGAACAGTCAACTCTGAAAATTTTGGGGGCTTTAAATTTTCCTTGGAATGATAACTCTCAAAGATAAAGGGTCTGTTTTGGGAATTGGATCCAACTTCTCACATAAAGCATATCACAGTGCTACCACTTGAGAAAAACTATGTATTTGTCAAAGTAACATAGAAAGTTGCACGACCAAATATTCAGATACATCTGGAGTTTTTACTTTTTTAGAACTCGGTCAGCTGGAGAGTTGACTTGCCTCAGGTGCGTTTTTTCGACTTGAAACGAGTTTTCATTCACAGATCTAATGCAATGGTCATTCCTTGCTACTTCCTATCTTCATACTTGACCATTCACCAATGTTTATTCTCATATATAACCATAAATATAAATTGAATATCTTATCCAAGCTGGAGTATTTTCCTTTTGACTTAACAAGCAGAAACAATAAGAGGAGAAAATATTGGGATAGTGCCTGGACTTGTAACTTCTTTAAAGACCATTTTACTCCATGATTATTGCACCCATGTGAGAAAGGAAAAATGACTGGAAATAAAAGATTTTAAAAAATTTGACAAATACCATCTTATATTTCAAGTTTCTAGCCCACATGCTTGCATGACATGCAATGTGTTCTGATATTTTTCCCCAAAAATCCCTTCTCTTAGTTAAATTAGCTACTTGTACGTGGTGAATATTGTTAACTTTGACTTGCATACACTTGGGATTTGGACGACTTCTCAACCCAATGGACTGGCTGTCCCTGATGCCAGCATGCATACTGTCGAATCAACTGCTGATGTTATAGAACTGATGCAAATAGGTCTGATGAACCGAGCAATAGGTGCCACTGCTCTTAATGAAAGAAGCAGCCGATCTCATAGGTTATTTTATGTGGATTCAATTTTTGTTTTCTTTGATTGATTGTGTAGTTCAAACATATGGGAGAAAGAGTTGTATATGATTTTCTCCCATTTATTTATTTATTTTTGAGAGAGAGAGAGAGAGAGTTTTGTATGCAGCACGATTTCTAACGTTTTGATCTCAACAGTGTCCTGACTGTGCATGTTCGAGGATTGGACTTGAAGACAGGAGCTGCTTTGCGTGGGTCTCTTCATCTAGTGGACCTTGCCGGAAGTGAGAGAGTGGATCGTTCTGAAGCTACTGGAGACAGATTGAAAGAAGCCCAACATATTAATAAATCGCTTTCAGCACTTGGAGATGTAATCTCAGCTTTAGCACAAAAGAGCTCTCATGTACCTTACCGGAACAGTAAACTCACTCAAATTCTTCAAAGCTCTCTAGGTTAGTACTGCCTAAAGAATAATATTCTTTTTGGTATTTTGTTTTGGAATATTAAATTATCTTTATGTGAAGTTATTCATATTGCAATTTTGCTCCTTTAATGGTGCTTGAAATTTGCTCTTCTTTTTTCTTTCTTTATGTTTTTCAAAGTTTTCTTTTTCAAATTTTCTTTAAATTCACAAGATGTGTGTGTGTGTGTTTTCTTTTCTTTTCTTTTTTTTTTCTTTTTTTTTTCATTTTTTCCTTTTTGCATTTGCAGGTGGTCAGGCTAAGACGCTGATGTTTGTACAGCTAAACCCAGATGTTGAGTCATATTCTGAGACGATAAGCACTTTAAAGTTTGCTGAAAGAGTTTCTGGGGTTGAGCTTGGAGCTGCGAAGAGCAGTAAAGAGAGCAAGGATATTAGAGATTTGATGGAACAGGTGATTTATTTTTATTTTATAGTCCCTCTAGTTATTCTCGTAGCTTCAGCTGTGTTGCTTTCTTTGAAAAGTCTGAAAGAAAATAATGCCAACTGTTATAAAATCTATGAATAAACAAAGAATTATAGAAAAACTTGAAACCATTTGCTTGGAAGTTTATTGCAATTCTTGGTTGAGTAGAGTAGTCATTGGACTTCAAGTGATACGCTTGAAAACATGGCATACGTGCGAGTAATTGAACCATGACATACTTGTGATAATCTAGAACATAACAAATAACCATGAAGCATTTTCTCTTCTTGGTTGGTACGGTCCTGTAGCTAAAGTATTTCTTTTTGTTGGGTAATTCAGCAGTAGCAATGGAACTTGGGATGTAGTGTTGCAATGGTCAACCATCTAGCAATCAAGCCCAAGATTGATTCCTATTTTTAAGATAGTAAGATATGTCTAGCAATCAAGCCCCAGATTGATTCCTACTTTTAAGATAGTAAGATATGTAATATCTGTATGTTTATTAACCACTCAATAATATCAAATTATTAAAAATGAGAAAAGAGATTGATCTTTGCTGGGAATTGTTTCGTAAACCATATAGATGGTTTATGGAAATTTGGGTTAGTTCTGTGTAAAACACTACATGTAAACACAAGTACCACACATTAACCCTTTGTTCTTGGAAAATTTTATTCTATTGTGTTAGTGTGTCCTGCTCATACTCTCTCTCTTTCTCATCCTATCACCTACGGAGAAAGTAATCAGAGTATTATTCGTGAGTTTGATTTCTCTGTTACACTAGATAGAGAGCGTAATCAGAGTTTTCTCTGTAAGTTTAATGAAACTTTCTATGTATTTTCTTTGTAGTAATCTTTGCGTATCTGAAATCTTCTCAGTAAGATGAGTAGTTAGTGACATGCCATTGTAAGACATCACTAATCTTAAGATCCTTAAAATATGTGGATTTATTTCAATAGTTGAGTATAATATCTCTTCTATCATTAACATTATCAAAAGAAATCTCTCTCTTCTATCATATACAGTTTTTCTCTTCCCATAATTATCCTCTATCTAGGGGATATGTCTACAAACCCATGAAACCCAACATTGACCATCCCTTAATTCTCACCTGTCAGGTAGTATCTCTCAAGGAAGTGCTTGCAAGGAAAGATGCAGAGATCGAACGGTTGCAAACACTCCGTGATCTCAAATTCCAACCTCTTGATCCCTACCTCACCGGTGATAAGCGAAGCATGAGTACTGGGAAGCTCACACTGTCTCCTGGCAGGCCTTCAATAGGGGCTGGGCTTCACAAAAATCGCAAAGCAGGCAGTGGAAGACCAGTTGGGCCTCTTGATTCTGTTAAAGCAGCCTCTGATATCGACAATTGCTCAGAATATAGTGATAGGAACTCTGAGGCTGGTTCTCAACAGTCTCTTGAAGATTTTAAACATCTAAAGGATTTTGATGGGCAAGCCAAGTATGATACTGGAGGAGAGCGTGAGCAAAGTGTTCGAACAGGGGATGTTGATCTTTTAGGGTTTGGTGAGGCTGATTCAGAGGAGAGGTTGAGTGATATATCGGACGGTGGCCTCTCCATGGGAACTGAAACCGATGGCTCAATTTCAAGCGTAGTTGAATTCACTCTTTTCCCTGATGCCAGTAAACCAGTGGATAACTCTGAAAAGAGGTGAGTCGTTTTGTGCTCAATAGTGGCTGTTGATTTTATTTGATTTGTTGGTTATTTAGTTTAATTGATGAGAAAGTATTCTACGATCCTAAGGTCTACCTATTGAATCATTTGGGTTTTGGGTCGTTAATGTCCATTGAAATGGTGGGTAGTGATGGAAAGCATGGGACATACCATTGGGTAGGGCTGAGAATTTACTCAGTTTGGATCCGAAACCTGAATTTCGGATCCTATTTGGATCTGGGTATGGATCCAAGATTTGGATCCGATGGGTTGGATCTGGATCTGAAATTTGGATCTGAACAGCAGGTGGATCTGATCGGGATACGACCTAGTTTTTAATATATTAGATATTATTTTGTATATACATATATGATATATAGTATTTTTTTTTGTTATATATATTTTATAGATAAAATAATATATAATGTTTTTTGAATCCGATCGGGTCCAGATCTGGATCCGAATCCTTTGTATACTTTTTGGATATTGATCCAAATCCAAATATCCTGGATTCGATTGGACTCTCGGACCTGATCCGACTCATTCTCAGCGCTACGGCCCTACCATTGGGTCACGCCTTGTTTCGGTAGGCACATTTCTCTTTTTCTCTTGTCATCACCATTTCTTATTTAAATAAATGGTGAAGACTTGAGCATTATGATTTTCTGTGAACCGTAGGATTGTGGCAGGCTTAGTTAAATTGGTGGTCGTGGCCACACACCCTTGGATCATGTCTATCTTGCCCAAGCAAATGTGCCTTGGTCGCCAGTGCCGACCGATAATTTTTTCTGGATTTTTTTAATTATAAATTATTGTTATCTTTTAGTATTACATTTTTCATATTTAATTTACTTACGCTATAAATTCGTTGTAGGTTGAAAGTTCCCTCACGAGTTCCCCGTCCGCCAATGAAACCGGGACAAACAGCATCTGCCCGAGTACCATCCAAGCTGTCGACCAAGAATGCCTCAAGTATGTATGAACAATATGTGATTTTTTTGCTTGCATTTTTCCTTTTCACCTTTCTACTTTATTGGTTTTATCCTTGATTTTTTGATTTATATATGTTATAGAATATGTTATATAAGTAATATAAATATGAAACATCAAACATCTAATATGCACTAATACAGTATATATATAATACTATGGCTACATATATATAAATATGTATGAATTAGATTATTTCAAATAAAAAATATCTATTTCTATTTTAATATTTATATTTTATCAAAATTCAAATCAAATAATCAAATTAAAGTATAAATATAAGAATAATAATACAGAATATTGTTTCTTTAATTGAATATTATTTCAGTATTGTTTTGTTTAACTGTTATTGTGTTTATTATTCATTTCTATTTCTTAGATTCTATTGTATCGTTGTTGTAATATACAGTTTGAATATTTATTTCATTACTTACATGATCAGGTTCGAGAAGAGCTTCAACTGATCAGGCACACTCATCATCTTCAAAGTCTTCAAAACGATGGCAATAAGAAAGGCATCCGCTTTTTTGTAAACATGTTAAGATTAGGCAATGATTTCAGCTGTGTGATTAACCTGTTGATGGACCTTAGCACTGACATTTAGCAGCTGTAATATCGTAGTCCACGGTGCATGGTAGTTTTCTTTAGTGCCATGTAATCCATTGGCCTATTGTGTAACATATGCTAAGGCATTTATTTTAGTAACAATTAAGTTTTCTGATTATGCTTATTATGCTATTCTTATGAGTGATGAATTCACAAAAAGAAATGGATTTGAAATTTCTTTTGGTGATTTATTGCATGTTTTGCATGGAGTGAAGTTTGTTGGCATCTGCAAGATTTTGGGTGTAAATCAATCCTGCCTTTTGGTGCAAATCAATCTTGGATGGGACTAAATTTTGTTAATATCAAAGACAGACATTGGATTTTCCATTATTTTCCAAACGGAGTTAATTTACACCGGAAAAATACAGTGGTGCTCAATAAACTTCACACCAAGCATGTGTTTCCTTATCTCATACGTCGAATATATTGAATTCTCTCATAAAGAAACATGATCCATTTATACCAAAAACCAGATTGATAAAATATTGGAGAAATTTTTTCACAATTTGTGAAGGTTCGGTTGATGCATGAGTATCATCCCATCAGTATAATAATGCGATTGTGAATAATCCTTGATTAGATCGAGTCAACCACTAATTATCTTGATTGAGAAAAGATACTCAAGGACCCTGAGGAATGAGGTGAAAACTATCTGGACCCATTAGAGCCTAAAGAGGCAACTATTATAATCAAAGAGGAATAAAGTAACAAAAAAAATTGATCATCTCTGGTGATTGAAACGGCAAGGTCTTGACGTACAGGCGATTCATCTAGTTATATGAGTCAACCCTCCAAATTTTATCTTATTGGTCTATTTTGGATCCAAACATTTTAGGAGTTGACAATCTATACGAAGATAATTTTAAAATAAAAATGAACATTTTTTGACAGATTTTTATCCACTGTTGAGGTTTTTATGGGATCACCATCTTTTTACATCGTCTTTAAGATGGATGTTAGATGCGCCAGTTATGCACATGTAGAAATGTGACCCAAATGTACACTACTTTTCTTTATTCAAATGGAAAAACTTTATGTATAGTTGACGCCTTAAATTATAGAATTAAGGTGCTCCTACAAACCACATTGGAAATGGCTGTTTTGACATTGGAAAACTATCTAAGTGATCATCATGACATCTAGATGTACGATATTAAAAAAAAGAAGAAGAAAAATGGATTGCGAGTCTCAAAAATAGTATATTTTATAATATATTATCTAGATTGTTTTCAAGATTTTCATATGTTTATAGATCTACTTCATTTGAACCAGTTTTAAAGTTTGAACTTTTATAACTAGATATAAAATAGATTTCCGGGTTATCCTAAAAGTTTTCAATACCAAAATTACGTCCTCTCATGAAGGTTGGAGGTGCGATTGTTTAAAGTTGAAACCTTATACAAACCACACTCTATTTAAATATGAATATGATATTCCATATTTTGCAAACCACACCCCTGTAAAGGACAAAACCACTGGCATGTGTTCCATTTGTACCATCATATCCCTTTTAAACCAACCTCCTATGAGCTAAACACTCTAGGAAGATGATTTTGTGAGCTGATCGGTCGCATAGCATACTCTGGATGGGCTAGAGTGATGGACGAGAGTCAATCTGGACATTGAAATCTGCAGAAATATTTTACCTCTTTATAAATTTGTTTGTATAGGGTGTCAACCTTATACTATTGCAGTAAGGTGTGTCTCAAAACTATGTTGAAAATGCAGTTTCGGAGCCATAAAGCCTTGCGTTGATATAAATATCTATTGTGGCTCCCATAAAATTTAAAGTTTCAAAACTGGTGACGATCATGCATATCTCTAAACACTTGAAAATAGACGGTCTAGATAATATATTAGAAGATGCTTATTTTTTAGGACTATAAAGCTCTTTTTTTTTTATGATATGTGAATCTAAAAGTTGAGATGATCTACTTGAGGGTTTTCCAGCACAGGTGGGTTTTTTTAATGCACCGTACCAATTTTGAGATTTAATATAAACTTTTTCCTTTAAATAATCAACATATAGCAGAAAATTACGGAGGCAAAAAAGAATAAAAAATTACTACTGAGACCCATAACATGTGTGGCAGCATAAAAATGAAATGGATTACTAACCAAACTAAGCCCCTTATTTCTTGTGTTGAAAACAATTTGGTGACGTGTATTGGATGGATACAGGGATATCCAAAATCATTCCCATAAGCAAATCCCATGTTATATATGGGATTGATATTAAAATTGATATCGATAAGTTTTTTAAATTAATTAGAAAATTCATCGAAGTTTTCTATTTGCTATATATATATATATAATAAAAGAATAAGAAAAAAAAAAATTTGTCCACCCATTTTTACGCACTATATGGGAAATATGTCTTCCTCCCGAAAGAGACACAGGAGCATCCTACATAAAGAGGTAAGGCCTCTACATTGAGAAAAGTGAGCTTCTTAAATAGAGAAATGCTACAATAGTGCCTCATGTCAAAGTGAGAGATTGGTTTCTTGTATAGAAGTAGTTCTCATAGAGATATTGGATGAATCTCCATTTTAGTGAGAGACTAAATTGGTCTCAAGGCTTTTTTATTGGATAGTTGTTTAACTGTAGAATAGAGATAGGAGATTGACGGATGATGTCGATTAGGAGAGCTGATATAAAAAAGTTACTCGATTGGAATTTGTCTAGGGTTAGGAGGTAACTTTGCATCTCAAAATATGTGATGTAACTCTCATCACTACATTGAATTTTAATTTGCTATGACTGTAGACGTAACCCTTCTTATTGAGGCTGAGTCATCAAACCTATACATTCAATAAATTGGCAGGCTCACGAAAATCATTTTTCACACACATATATATAATTGTGTGGTATGATTTTCTTTGGTATTTTCCATCCTTCCAATGTCAGCCCCATTCCGTTATCACTCTTTTTCTCAACCTTGTTTGCAAGTATTCTAACCACAATTTGTGTACCATGAGTTTTGATTCTCGAGGGGATGTTATCATTTAGCACCTTAGATAGAGAGAGGAGAGAGAGATAAACATTTAAATGTACTCAAAAGTATCTCCTTTGTTTTGAGCTTTGGTAGAAGGATCACGTATTAAATTATGTATACTTTTTCTTATACATAGAAGAATCTATACATAAAAGTACAGAAAATTGTTTCATGTGGGTTGGACCGCATGACTACATATGCCGTTCAAAAATTGTAAAGCGTCCATGTTTTATCTTAAAAAAATGGAAACTAACTGTTCAAATGTTTTTTTATTAGAATTTACTATTTTTAGTTTTTAAAATTTATTTATTTTTTCATATTCATGATCTCTATGTTAGAGATTACATGTCTTTAAAAATCAAGTCAAAAAATCTATCTCAAAAATAAATTTATTAAGGGGCCCACATTTTTACATATGCAGGCTTGGCAGCATAGAAACCGGGTCCTAAAAGTACTGAAAAATCTGTACTCTTTCTTATACGATATATACTAGAGAGAGGCTTTTTCGCATGCAGTCAAATTGAGGGGGAGAGAGGGATACAATGCAACAATTCCCTGCAGTCAAATTGGAGAGAGAGAGAGAGAGAGAGGGGATTTTTGCATGATGTTGAAAAGAACCAACTTCACATGCTTGAGAGAACTCACAATACTAGCATGTTTCAGCACCTTGTCCTTGAACTACATAAAATGTCTTCGACTACTATAAATTGGAACCCACTCCAACAACAATCCCTCATCTTGTCTCTCTCCAAGACCACCCCTAAATTTTTTTCAGAGAGCAAGAGAGAGAGTTTCAAGTTCTAGAGAGAGAACATTAAGAGAGAGGGTGTGAAAGTGATAATCGGAGGAGATCGAACCATGGATTGTTTACCCAACTAAACTTTTACTGGCTCGATCTGCTCGGATGTCTTACATCATCACCTTCTCCAATTCCACCACTTCATGGCTTCAAGGAGAGAGAAAATTTAGAGGGTATGGGGGTGAGAATCGTAGGAGAGTGAACCTTTACCAGTGGAGTTAAGGCTCAAATACAAAGGCAATGGTTCAGTCTCCTCCGATGTCTTATTTCCATCGCTTCTCCATTCCACACTTTCATTCGAAGGCCCAAATTTTGGTAAAATTTCTGGAGGTTTCGTCATGATTTTGGGCATAGGTTTCTTAATGTAGATGATTGATAATTACTTAGTTCGATAGTTCTAGATGTATGGAAGATTTTGATATTCCAATGACTGAAATTATTTCCTTAGTTTGATTTAGATCACTTTTTTTTTTTTTTAGAGTTTTATTTGACAGGTCATGGCTGAATATGTGTAGGTTATTATCATTGTTGTTGTTATTATTATCATTACTATCGTTATTATTATTAAATAGTGAGCATGTATGGCTGAATATGTGTTCTTGTTTTGATTTACAACGTATCGGCTCTATGGTAAATTTTATTGATAGGCCATGACTCAACTTGTTCCCGTAGTTTGATTTAGACCCACATTCTATAGATTTTAAGAGGAGGTTGCATCCCATAAATTTGATTATCCTCTCAAAAGCGAAATGTATGGAAATTTCTTGAAAAGTATAGCATCCACATCTTGGTATACAAGTACTGTTTCAATTTGACAGCCACAAATCAATTTTATTTTTTTATTTGTAATATTGTACAAAAATCATATTTACATGAAAAATTGGGGCGTACACGTACAAGCATCATCTTTATAGGACACACTTAAGAAAAATAGAAAATAATTAATCGAAATAAAAAATTATCTAAAATACCCCTGAATATGTTAGAGGTATTTTGGTCATTTTTTTTTTACTTTATTCTGTTAAATTTTCATTGGGTGTGCCCCATACAAATGCCCAATTTTTATGTGAATATAAATAATATAAAATAAAATTAAAAATTAAATTAATTTGTTGCTCTTAGATGGATCTGAGATTCAATCTGAACCAGGTACTAGTGCACCCTCTGTGGATGCTATACCATAATTGAAAGTATGAAAGAAAAACATTATCTTATAGAATGTATTCACAAGAATTGATGGTTTTGTTGTCCTCAAGCAAATTTCAGCTAAAACTTGGGGTCCCAATTTCACAACCTTTTTGGATTGGCCGCGACTTGCCCTGTTAAGCCGGTTGAACCGGCCGATTTACCAGTTATTTGGACTTGGTTCTTGACTGGTTTTTGAGGCCAATTAAAATTTTTCGAGCACTGGGATAAGTCATACATTTCTTAACCTCAAATCTATCTTAGACATGCTCATATAGAGAGAGAGAACAATGGCTGCCATTAATATCTTCCCAAGCCTTACACCACAACCACTTAAGAAAGCTAGAGAACAAACCAAACAAAACCCCCAAGCCTTACACCACAAGCATTTAAAAAAGCTAGAGAACAAACCAAACAAAACCAAGACAAAATCTCTAGATCACAGCCTACTGTATCAAACATTTGCATAAAACACAGCAGAACAAAAATACATATTTTGATAGAAATTTTTTTTAAAAAAACACCAACATTGTTCAAATTAAAGAAGAAATAAGAGGGTGTAACCTTCAAAGTGTGAAGCCCATTGTTGTAAACCTTTGTGGTGGACTGTGGACCCTAGAAATTGTGCTTGGAGAGGCATGAAGGGTGTTGTGAAAACATAGAGAGAGCCTATAGAGAAGAAAGGTCAGATTTCTACATGGTGGGAGGTATAGAGTGAGAGGGATGAGAGAGAAACCAATTATCAATATGGGCACCATCTTCCCTGATCCTATGAACCGAGAATAGCCAAAGGGAAGAGAAGGGAACTATAATAAACCTATCTCAAGTAATCTTCTCACTTTGTTTATTCACTTTTAGATAGAGGATGGAGGTCAGTTGAGAGAGAGAAAGAGAGAGACAGTGTTAGTTGTGGGTTGACTTGTAGGTGCAAGCAACAATCATCAAACCTGAAAAAATGAGAAATGTGACATCCATTTCTTATGCTAAAATGAGAGTGATTTATGTATGGACTTTAAAATTTTAGATAAAATACACAGGTGGAAATTATAAAGAAGGTTGGTCTAACTCATTTTTTTTTTTTTCAAAATTGCCTCTCGATCTAACTTAATTTTGAGTTTTTACTTTTTTTTTGTTCGTAAGGCAGGGCCTTAAGGCTTAGGGCACTATCTTACTAATAAAAAAACTAAAAAAGAAAAGAAAAATCAAATCGAATTTTGTGACGGAGTGGCAATTTTGAAAAAAAAAAAAAAACAGGTTGACCGGCTTTCTTGGTAATTTTTGCCTATAAGCAAAACATTTTATATTTTACCTAAAATTATAAGCAAAACATTTTATATTTTACCTAAAATTTTAAAGCTCGTAGGTAAATCACTTTGAAAATGAAGAATAAAGGAAAAATTATGGATAGCATTGGATTGTGCTTTCTAGCATATCACATTAATAACCTCAATGCTTTTTTTTACATGCAACCACCCCCAAGTATAATAGTTTACTTATTTTTAACCAAAATACCCTCTTTTTGTTTTTTTTTTCGAGTTTTCCACTCTCTCTCTTTAAGCAAGTGGGAGCCCAATATGTGCCGAACCGGCACAACTTTAATATAGAACTGGTCCGGCATTTCGTTTGTGCTAAAAGCCGGTTCGGCATAGATTGGGTTAAAGAACTCGTATGTGTGACAGCGGGCGATGGAAAGGTGACAAAAATGTACCTTCAAATATTATTCAGAAATGTGGTTTGAATATTAGAAATGTGGTTTGAATATTGAAAATCTTTGTGATAGCTTTAAAATTAGTATAGATCGAGCTGATCTATGAAAATCTTGAAAATTGACGGTCTAAAAATACGTTACAAGATGTACAATTTCCATGTATCTTGATGTCAAGATGATATATTTGATGATATTTGTGCATCAAAATAACCTCTTCTAGTGAAATTTTTGAAGTGGGTTCTAATTTGATTGTTTAGAACCGTGACTCTATATGAACATTATTTTTTGACTTTGTCGGTTTGGAAGAAAATATATATATATTTTTGGGGTTAAGGGTAGAAACTACTAGAAAGTATTAAAACACTTTAAATCGTAATCGTCCAACTAAACCATATCCTAACTATAATTAACCCCAAATTAATCAAACTATGTATCCCATGGTTTAACTTTTCTTTTATCGGAAAGGAGAATTGCTTGGTGAGTCCAAGCCCGTATTTGTTGCTTTGGGGGCTTGGAGATCTACACTATCCACCAATGAAAGTGTAGATCTAGAAAAAAACAAAATCAATAGTTCAAATATGCTCTCTAAAAAAATGTAATTCCTACTTTTTTTTAAAAAAAAATTACTTATTTTTACAGATTAATAATCTACAAGTTTATGATTATATATTCCCTTAAAATTAAGTTTAATTCTATTTCAAAAATATATTATTAATGGGGCCGTATTTCTACATGTGAGTCCGTGGACTCATAGAAACCGTGTCCAACCCTAAATCAGTAAATCCCCAAACGCCAAACCCTACCGCCTCTGAAACTGCCTCTCTCACTCTTTGAGCACTCGCCTTCTCTCTATTCGAAGTCCAGCCAGGCAGCGACCAACCCCCGAAACCCTAGTCCCACCACTCTCTCAGTCTCTCTGCTCTCGTTAAATCGAATAAGGAAGAAGGTAAGATACAACCCCCTCTCTCATCTGAAAGATTTCTCCTATCGATAAATCTCTCTCATCTGTTTTCCATTCGATTCTCTCTTCCATATTTTATTATTCTCTCATCTGATGTCCTCTCTCTCTCTCTCTCTCTATTTCTCTGTATTTTGGAAAACCGCTCTTTCAGAAACCCTCTAGTTCTCTATTTCTTTGTGTTTTCCCCATAAATTAATTGCATCTCCATTGAAGCAATTTTGTTAAATGGGTGTATTTCTTTTTATTTGCGGTCCCTTATTGTAACTGTTAAATCGATGAATGAATGGATGTAACTGTGTTAAATGGATGAATGGATGGATGCAATTTTTGTTAAATGGATGTAACTGTGTGCTTAACTCTTGTGTTTTATTAATCTTTTTTGTTACTTCAATTGTGTTTTTTCATTTTGGGTAATTCAGTGGATTTTATTAATCTTTTTTGTTACTTCAATTGTGTTTTTTTAATTTTTAGTTTTTTTGGGTAATTCAGTGGAGAAGACGGGCTCCTACCCGTTTTTTCAAGTAGATTAGGAGTTAGGTTTTTGAAGGTGTTAATGGGGTGGTGTTAGTAGTGGGAATGGAAATCACAAATTGGTGACTAGGGTGTGGCGTGCTACCTCCACGACTCCAGCCCCTTTCCCTTTTTTAAATTTTTTTTTCCATTTCAATTGTGCTAACTTGTTTCGTTGCCTCAAATATGAGCTTTCTAGTTCACCTGTTCTGTAACAATTGTAAATCTAACGAGTGTATACTGTTTAGAGTTCATGGCATTTGTTTCATTTGATTTGTAGGTACGGGTCCTGGTCCCAGGTCCAAAATCTAATCTCGGGCATGGGTACAGGTACGGGTACAATCATTTTGGAACCGGCCGGTCCAGGTCGGGGTCCAGGTCCAACAGGACCTGACCCATTGCCACCCCTACTGCTGATTACCCTGATGCTAAGCTACATTATAGTGATGGATCTTTGAAATTGAAATTGAATATCTTTTTTGAGTTTCCAATCATTCATACCATATTATACATATTGTTCCTTAGTTTATATTGTTTGTCATTCTTGTACTCATGTTAGTTTTGAGCAATCTAGATAGTGATATTTTTGTTAGGGTTTCTTCTCTAAAACTCTAATATTCAGACCCGAATATAGGAACTGAGCTAACTTTGGATCCCATTTTATTTTTCTGTTTTTACTGTCTTTTCATGTGAGAATCACTCTAATCATGATCCATATGGCTTCTGATTCACATTTTGCTGTACTGCATTTCTTTTTTCGTTTTTTATTTGACATGAGGATGCAATGGAACTGAGTTTGATAATGTGGGTTCCTAAGTTCAATTAAGTGGTAGATTGGTTTTTTGCAGTGTCTTCTATCAGACCTCATGGTCGGATTTCCCACCGATCATTTTGACCTTTTTGTTGGAAAATGGATATTTTTGTCCATTTGGTTATGCTTAAGTGGTTTTTTATAGAATAATTTTAATATGGGTTGTTGGTTATATATGAAGAATTCCATCTTTTGTATTTAATATGTTTGTCTCAGAAAATTTGGGTATTGAGGATTTTGACACCCAGGTTTAATATAATGGTTTTGGAGCTCAACTTGCTATGTAGGGATGGTTTGACATCTTGGTTTCTGATTTTGGTTTTGTATTTTGGGTTTAATATATTTTGAACTTTTCAACTTGAATCTTCGCTTTTTATTAACAAACTGGATGTGTGTTTTGCGGAGTTTTGGTTTGGTGAACTGGATTTGATTATTGATGAAGAATTTCATTCTCACAGAAGTTGGTTATTGGGGTTTCATGACTCAGGTTTAAATGTTGGTAAGTGGTGTATTATACAGGGATGGATGAAGAAGAGGTCAAGACTGGCGCCATTGTTCCAGCATCTGTGCTGAAGAAGAGGAAGAGGAGCGAGGAATGGGTGCTGGCAAAGAAGAAGGCCCTTCAAGCCAAGAAGAAGAAAAATGCCGATAACAGGAAAGTGATGTTTAAGAGGGCACAAGAATATGCGAAGGAGTATCAAGAGCAGGTGACTCAGTGCGTTCTATGTTTTCTGCATGATTTATGTATTTTTGTTTTTGGGGCTTTCAAATGATTGTTTGCCGTGTATTTATTCAATTGGTATTGTGATTTTCTTGCATGATTTCCAGGAGCTTGAACTGGTTAGATTAAAGCGAGAAGCCAAGTTGAAAGGTGGATTCTATGTGAGCCCTGAGGCTAAATTGCTGTTTATCATTCGTATTCGTGGGTATGTTCTCTATTCTAGTATGGAGACATTATAAGATCTGCAGTACCTATTTGAATATTTCTACAATGTTGTTGTATACTTCCAAAAATGGACTTTGTTTTGTTTTATTTGTGATGTAAATCTTCATTAGCGTTTGTGTAATGTAATATATGTTGCAAATCGCTATTTGGTGGAAGAAATTGACAAACATTTCGTAAAAAAAGATTTAAATTTTTTATTGTTAATGCTGATGTGCTTTTGATTTGTCAAAAGAGAGAAAAAAGCTGATGTGCTTTGGTATGTAAGCACGTTGTCATCATCAATACCTGACTATAGTGACGGCTTTCCAAGGATTTAGAATAGAACGCCTTAGGGATTATGCATTTTGTACTTTCCATGATTAATAACTGATGGCTATATCCCCGTTTCTTGCGAATTTCATTTGAGACATATGTATAGGTGACGATAGGTGTATTTGTTGATCAAATATTGCCCCTCATGTTGGTAAATGGTAGAAAGTAAAGTCACCTAGGTAGCTTTTTGAAAATCAGGAAATGATCCTTATGGTTTTTATGTAGGGCAAGTCAGGGTTTTATAGTTTTTTTCTCCTATAATTGTGAAAGTGTTGCACAAGGAAAAGATAGAGAAGAAGAAATGATTTTGGGTATTGCGAAAATATCCTTTTTTGGGGGTGGAATTCGTTGCAAGCTTGGGGAGGGGGCCAAATCTCCCACCCTTCTGTGTGAGCTCCCTATTATGCCTAGAGAGAGGGTAGATTCTCTCTCCTTTTACTTCTTTTGTTCTTTTCCTACATCATCAACAACTTGAGATTTCCTCCAATAAGACTTATCACAGAAATCAAGTATCTGCCAGCATACTAGTACTGATGTCCATTAATAATCTGATCCTGTCGTGCCCATATTCCATTGGAGCTAGACAAGTTCATTTTTCTAGGGGTCTATGTCTTTATTCTGTCTGGTAGGGTTTTAATTTTATTGTGCCAACAATTAGATCCATCCTCTCAACCTCCTTGATTTTCAAGTACAAACTATAATTATACGTGGTTCTCTTCCTGCTCCCAATATCTCACTACTTATTCTCTTTCCTACTTCTTAGAGCTTTGTTAATTTGGGATTATTATGGGCTATGTCTCTGCTGTTTGTTCTCAATGATTGTTGGATGAGATGAGCTATTCCTGTCCTCTCAAAGTGGAGGAACAATGGCTTCTACATGTAGCCATTATTCTGCTTGTTGTCTATGGTATATAGGTTATCAAAATTCTTTTTTGCATGCTGGACCTTACACCATACTTCCCTTGCCGTACATTCTCTGTCTCGTTTCCCATGTCTTCAGCAACAGCTTTAATGGTTCTCCCTGTTGGACTAAACACGGAACCTAAAGCCTCGGCTATATGGTGCATTTCATGTTCCATTAGGCTGAGACTTCCCTGTCTGTCTTTTTAGTTATGGATAACTCTTTGAGTTGGTGGTTGAGTTTCCATGCTTGTTATCTCTATTCGTTTCCTGGGTTTTGGTCCAAAAAAAAAAAATTTCCTGCCATGTACTTTTTGGTTACTCATATTTTAGCAGCACTTGTGTCTCTATCTGGAATTTCTCTAGAGCCAGTCCTTTCTTTGCAAACTTCAACCCCATTCTACTGTTGATCAGAATTTGGAAAACTCCTCCCTATCTTGCCTTCCTTCTGGCATTCCAGAAGTAGGAAAGAGTTTGTGAAGACTGATATCTCCCATTATTTAATAGCATCTGGGATATAAATTTGATCATTTAGTTAGATGTTTATGATTCAAACAAGAAGTCAAGTTATTGCTTGATGTTTGCACCCTTACTACATTAATGTGTCCTTATTTCAAACTTTAGTCTGCTCATATTTTTCTCCATCTACAAATTTTGATTGAAACCCTTTTGTTTGTAATATGTAATCTCATATTTCCACTTCTTTTTTCTTTTCTTCTCTCAGTATCAATGCCATGCACCCAAAGACCAGGAAGATTTTGCAGCTTTTGCGTTTGAGGCAGGTAAGGGTTGCCTTCTACCCGTGAGGTGGTTATAACTTTGTATGGTCAGTCTTGACATGATGCTGTATTACTGTATATCCTGGCAGATATTTAATGGTGTCTTCCTCAAAGTGAACAAGGCAACTATGAATATGCTGCATAGGGTTGAGCCTTATGTAACTTATGGGTATGTTTCATCACCTTCGAAATCATCCTCGTGACCTGGTGTTTTTTTATTGTCTCACTTATATATTGGCTTGTGCATGCTGTAGGTATCCTAATTTGAAGAGTGTTAGAGAACTGATTTACAAGAGAGGCTATGGGAAATTGAATCATCAGAGAACTGCATTAACCGACAATTCCATCATTGAAGAGGTATCGATCTTATGCATAAAGTCGTTCTTCAAAACTTTAGTTGAAGAAACCATGTATTTGATTTTAATCTATGTGATCTCCTTATTAAAACTTTTATTGCAGGCCTTGGGTAAATTTTGCATTATCTGCATCGAAGATCTCATTCATGAGATAATGACAGTTGGACCTCATTTCAAGGAGGCAAACAACTTTTTGTGGCCTTTCCAATTAAGTGCTCCACTAGGAGGTCTGAAAAAGAAGAGGAACCATTATGTTGAAGGCGGTGATGCCGGAAACCGCGAGCATTACATCAACGAGATGATTAGGAGGATGAATTAGAATTTGCTTCAATAAAGGTTCTGGTTCTCTTCCATTAGTTTAGGCAGCTACCAAGGTCTTAATGTCGGTTTTTTTTTTGTGAGGATGCTTTCATTTTTTGAGCCGGATGTTAAATGTTTTAATTTTCGATGTGATTTTTCCATCTCTTAACAATTTATTCAAATGCCAATGTGGCTTAGCTTATCTCATACAGACTATCAATTATGCCGTAGTGTGAGGACAATGCCTGAAATTGCCTTTCGTTTGATTTTATTATGACCCGTTTTTTCTTTAACGTTTTGGTATCCATGGCAGGGATCAGACGTTTGAGAAATTGTCTCTGAAGGATTGATTATAGTTGGTTGTTTTCTGAGTTTATTTGCTTAGGTATTGTATTTTGCCTTCTGATTTAAGTTGTCCCATCTTCCTCGTGGTGAGGGAATTTATCTAATGAGACTGTTTAACTTTGTCACAATCATCGTTGATTGTTAGATTTGAAATTGGATGGTTGAGGATGTGTTATTATTTGGGGATAAATTCCAAAATAAAATGTCTCGGCTATGTTACGTGCTTTCATTTATTGAATTTCACATCCAATGGTTAAAGTGATTGTGACTTTGTACCAAAAATAAATGGTTTGTTTAACCCTAAAAATTTAATCTTCAAGGAGCCCAAAAAATCTAAGTTTGTAATTTTTATTGTTGTTATTCTGGGATGGACTGATTTTATAGGCTGACAATACCCGTAGTGCTTAATGAAACGATGAAAAGTTAGCTTGTGAATGATATGCTAAATAGTATCCAACATCTTTGTGTAGGAAAAATGAGTTTGAAGTATGAAGCATTTGCCCGAACATTTTAGGTATCTTTTCTATTATTGGCATTGTGTAGTAGGAGTAGGAGTAGGAGATTATTTATTTTCTGTACAAAGAGATCACAATCAGTTGTAGTCATTGTTGTGAAATTCAATAGATAAAAGTGTGTCGTAACATTTGAGAAATTTTATTTTGGACTTATTGTGAAATCCAATAAATAAAGTGTGTCTCATCATTTGTGAAATTTTATTTTGGACAGCAGTGAGTTTTTGCGCACTTCAAATGTTCCACATAGGCCTAATCTCCTATTAGATCCTAATCTCCCAGTAGATCTTAAAACACAAATGAATAAGGTATATCCACTACCATCTTTACAATACACTTGAAAGAACTTCACCAATTTAAGAGTTGTGTATTCCATATTGAGGTCTTTGAGATCATTATCCATATGGAGTTGTGTACTCCATATTACATCACCAAGTTAAGAGTTGTGTATTCCATATTGAGGTCTTTGAGATCACTATCCATATGGAGTTGGGTATTCCATATTGAGGGTTTTGAGATCATTATCCATATGTTGAATAATGAAATGAACGGATGCCTCTCAAATATCCATCGGAAAAGGTAGTTTTAATGTTGAAAAGCCCTTTGATTGATTATCTTGACATCGAGATGTATGACTATGAAAAATAAAATGATTTTAAGTCTTAGAAATAGTGCATTTACCACATATTATCTACAATGTTTATTTTCAAGATTTTCATATGTTTATAGATCTACTTGATTTTAGCTATTTTTTAAATTTATAATTATAAAAGCTATTTTTTAAATTTAAAATTTTATAATTAGATATAAAAATAGATTTTGAGAGAATCCTAAAAATATTTTACATCAAAATTATATGCCATTTTGAAGGCACATTTTGTCTTTACACTTATGGATGCATCCGTATGCAAATTGTACCCCTTTTTATACAATAATAGTGGTAGTGCTTCGTTAATGCTTTCATAGTGGTAGTTGAACCGTTGTGGTTTCATGCAATGATCAACAAGTGCTTGGTTAATGCGCTCGATCTTAAAGAATCAGCACGTGATCCTATTAAATATAATGGATTGTATACTACTAGACTATTAACCATACAAGGAGGTCATAAACCAGTATTCTGCTCTGGGATTCTTGTCGTTCAACTCTTGTCCTCATTTGATCTAATTGTTTTTCATTTGCTTGGGTCGGTGGTCTTGTTTTTCATTTGCGTGTGTTTGTGGTCTAATTGTTTTTCATTTGCTTGTGTGGTCTAATTATTTTCAGCGCTTCCTTTTGATGATTGTGATTGCTTGTGTCTGTGGTCTAATTGTTTTTCATTTGATTGTCTGTGGTCTAATTGTTTTTAAACGCTCACTTCTGACCCCATTTGGTCTAATTGTTTTTCATTGGCTTGTGTCGGTGGTCTTGTTTTTCATTTGCTTGTGTTTGTGGTCTAATTGTTTTTTATTTGCTTGTGGTCTAATTGTTTTTTCAGTGCTTCCCTTCCGATGATTGTGGTCTTGTGTCTATGATCTAATTGTTTTTCAACGCTTCCCTTCTGATGATTGTGGTTGTATTTAAACGTTTCCCTTCCTTCTGATGATTGTGGTCTTGTGTCGGTGGCCTAATTGTTTTTCAACGCTTCCCTTTTGATGATTGTGGTTGTATAGTAGGTTCCTCTTCGTCTGATTTTGTTCTCATAGTTGTTTGAACCTAATCCAAACCATTGACACATCAGTTGTTCCTCTCGTCTGTTTTTCTCCTCTGCTCTGATCTCATGATGGTTCATGATTGTTAAAACCTAATCCAAATCATTGCCACATCAGTTAAACCATTGACTAGTTCAAAAAATTGTTTCTTAAATGTTGTCTAGACAACTTTAAAAAATCCAAACCATTGACATATCAGTCATTAGGCGAAGTTCAAAAAATAGTTTTTAAAATTGAGTCGGTTTCAAAAAAAAGTTTTTTAAATTGAGTCTAGACATCTTTAAGGTGTGTAACGAATTTTTAAACTGAATACACTTATAACCGCCCCATTTAAAATACTTATAGACATAAGTAATTATGACATCTTAAAAGTAAATAGTCTCTTTGTATATTGTTTTTAAATAAACATTTTAAAAAGTAAATAGTCTCTTTGTATATTATTTTTTTGTATATTGTTTCTAAATAAAAAAAGGGCTTGTTGTTAAGCTGAAAAAGAAAAACTAAACCATTTACAATTCCACGCATCTTTAAATGAAGTTTAAACAGAAGTTAAATTAACCGTTCGCCAAAGGCTCACAATGCAAAATTTAACTCGATTTTTATGATTTTACGTATTTTTTTGTATCAATAATACATGGAAAAAGTTTATATAGAGCCAAGGCTCTAAACGATCAAATTAGAGCCTACCTCAAAAATTTAACTAGAAGAGGTTGTTTTTATGCTCAAATATCCTCAAATTAATCATCTCTACGTCAAGATGCAACATGAGAAAAAAAATAGATTTCAAGTTTTGGAAATAGCGTATTTTATAAGGCATATTTAGATGTCAATTTACAAGATTTTCAAGTTTTTAACTTTATAAAAAATAAAAATATATTTTAAAACTATTACAAAAATTTTCAATATTAAAACCACATTTCTTGACTCTATTTATGAGCCAATTGATAAGATGGAAAGTCCATAAGGATTTATGAGCCACATCGTCCATAAGGATTTAAGAGCCAATTGATAAGATGGGCAGTCCATAAGGATTTATGATCCACAATAATGAGATGGAAGGGCACGATACCGATAGAGGATGGACATGATTCATCATCATTAATATTAGTAGAGCTTAGACTCGGCTACCCGAATCACGTAAAAGTTAGAGGTGGAGTTGTAATCTCCCTCAAAAAAAAAGGTAGAGTTGTAATCTCTCTCAAAAAACTTACTTGCAAAATGATCATTTTTAGCTTTTAAAAATGTTTTTTTTTTACACATTCATTTTCTCCATAGAATATATATAAATCCAAAATCCATCACAAATGTAGATCATGAAGATGGACGTACGTCTATATATAAAGGAAAATGATCATGTGAGCCAGTGGGCTCACACGTAAAAATAAGCTCAACAACTCATATTGAATTTGGGCCGATCTGACGATCATGGATGCACGATAGTATTTGAATTTTAATTTTTTTTTTACAAAATCCAAATCACTTGAAATTTTAGGTGTGTGTTCATTAAAAAAATAGCTGAATCTTCAAAAAATATCACAAAAAAAATTTTATATTAAAAAATTAACCAAATAGCCCCGTAAAGTTTCGGGGGTATTTTGATCAAGTTTATTTTTACAGATTATTATTATTTTATTAAGTCGGCTTTGATAAAAAGAACATACGTCTAAAATTTCAAGTGATTTAGATTGGTAAAAAAAATT